GCGGACGCGAGGACCCGAGCCGCTACTGTTATGGCACTCTTGCTGAGACAGACGGACAGACACTTATGGACCCGGAGATAACGGCCAGTTTACAATTATAGAAATTTCTAGCATTTGTGTAAACTAGAATAGAGTGTTATATAGTGCCCTTGCGGTGAAGACAACATTTAAGCGAAAACAAACGCGACGCTTGTAAATGCCCAGAATTGCTCGCGGTCTGCGCGCGAAAAGTGGCGATAGAGCGCACTTTGCAATTGTTGACGCGCAAATGTTGTCGGCAAAACGCAAAAACATGCTAAAGTCTTACACGGTAAAAGCAGGTTTTCTTACTTCTTTGTTACCACTGCTTCTTAAGGTAGAGCTAGTTTGCTTGAAAACCTTTTATTATGTCCGAAGAGCTTTCCTTCTAGTTTTATGTATGTCTTCTGTTGCCTAGGTGTTTCTCAAATTTTAACATTTATGACATACCAAAACTCAAAAAATTCAAAAAAAAACTCAAAAAAAAACTCAAAAAACTCCAAAACTCATACCAAAACTCACAAAAAATTCCAAAATTATGCATAACGTTTGCAGAGTTTATTGCTATGAAATTCTTAAAAATTTTGAGAGAAAAATTTTATCGCAAAATGGGATTTTCGTTAAGTCCTTGCTGTGCCGTATAAAAGTTTCAATCAAAAAGAGATCGCAGAACGCTCCTGTTACAGAGCAAGAGCTTGGTAGGAAGATGGCAAAGTTTTTCATTTTCTTGCGGAAAATTGAAGAATCTCGGAATAGGCAATTTTGGACCTTTGAGGTGAACCTCCGAAAAGTAAGTACTTTCGGTTTTTTTGCAACACTTTTTCTCAAAAATCTGCAAACCCGAGCTTGGCATCGGTGCTATACAGTAACCGACTGTTACAGTAAACATTGTGTGCGCTATCCAAATTTCAGAGTACATGGTGCTCTCAAACTAGGTTGCGAGAATTTTTTCACAATCTTTCTTGTAATCGCTAATCATAGGTACCTATTTGCAGTCGTCTTTTTTGCGCTCAGACAGATCTTTCCAGCGCTTAGAAAGATCTTTCCAGAAAAAAATTTGTCTTCATGCAAGTTGAATCATAGAAAACTTGCGCTGATCATGAATTTAAGATTCAGGGAGTCCAAATAAAATGTGCCTATGTTTGATTTATATTAACTCTCTTGCCATGAAAGGCAGTGTATCGGCAAAATTTCTGTTTTCAGTTTTTCACCTTTTCGAATCTTCCTCGCCATGAGGTATCCATATCTGGGGTTTTCAGCGCAAGAAAACCGCGAAAATGAGCCTTTTTAGAAGGCTTTTAAGTTTTTATTAGGTAAAGATACGCCAGTGGTCTTTTGCGCTCTCCTCATCCGTTCCGGGCTTCGCCCACTTACTCTACTGTCCATGGGTTCCTCATTGCGAGAAGCTCCAAGAAGATGAAAAATTGGAAAACAAAATTGCCGAGACACTAACTTTAACTTCTGAGGATAGGTAATATATTGTAGAGGTGGATTCCTTACATTTATAGCATAGAGCGATTTATCGAACGCTCATTTTTACTGCAGAATTACGGTGGATATGTGGAAGAAGGCTTTGAGCAAATAGAAGTCGCATTTAGTTTAAAAAGGGAAACCGGACAAGCCAAACTTTTTTGAGCCAGGCAAATCAACGTTGCTGACTTCGAAGAAGGAGTTTGCGCATAACAGTTGTGCTTTTTCCAAAACTAAAGATTGTGTAACGAAATTAGCGTGCGTGAAAGTCCTGCTTATAATGTTTGCAGATCTTTTTGTGTAATTTCTTGTAAAAAGGCCTGCTACTTAACGAGGCTGCATTCTGGAAAGTTCTTACCGCGTCCTACGATAACTAAAATAGATCAAAATTGGCCTTATTGTAAGCTAAGTTGAAGCCATCTTAACAAAATCTTAACAAAAGTTTTTTGAAAAGTTCATCACAAGAAAGTTGCCAAAAATCAAACAATAGGTACATTTTTGGGGCACCCTACATTTACCGTCAAATCTTGGATTCATGCTTTTGCACCAAATTCTGAAATTCTTTACTTCATCCAGATACAATGAATTCTTCTGGTTTGTATCACAGTGGAGAAAGAAAATTCTGCGCTTTTTGAAAGTGCTCGAGTCAGAATTCCTTGAGGGGATATGGCA